CTGCCGGCCGAGGAGGATGGCAGCGGCCGCCGGGAGCCGCCCTTCGCGCTCCGCGCCGCGCGCATCGCGCTGGTGGTCTGCCTCTACTGGGCCATCTCCATCACCATGGTGTTCCTCAACAAGTACCTGCTGGACAGCCCCACACTGCGCCTGGACGCGCCGCTCTTCGTCACCTTCTCCCAGTGCACCGTCACCACCCTGCTGTGCAAGGGGTTCAGCCTGCTGGCTGCCTGCGGCCCCCCGGGCACACTGGACTTCCCCTCGCTGCGCCTGGACCTCAAGGTGTCACGCAGCGTGCTGCCCCTGTCCCTCATCTTCATCGGCATGATCACCTTCAACAACCTGTGCCTCAAGCACGTCGGTGTGGCCTTCTACAACGTGGGCCGCTCGCTCACCACCGTCTTCAACGTCCTGCTCTCCTACCTGCTCCTCAAGCAGACCACCTCCCTCTACGCCCTGCTGACCTGCGGGGTCATCATAGGTGAGTAGGGCCCAGTGGTTGGGGGGCCTGTGGTTGAGGGGTCGAGCGAGCCTCCCTCCATTTCCGTTCTGCAGAGCAATACCCAGTGCATGTTATGTAGAGCTCTGTAAAGCTGCATCACTTTATACAGCTCTGCCTGCCCCCGTGAGCTCTCCCTGCCCTGTCATCCTTTTCATGTTTCTGCAGAGGAAGGTGTCAGTGAGCCAGATTTGTCCAAAGTCGGACAGTTCATTGGTGACAGAGCTGACCTCAGGACATGGAGCCCCAAGTGCCTGACATCTAGCCATGCACTCACAGCCTGCAACTCAGTTGTCTTGCCTAGCATAGGGGGATGAATCGGATTGTCATTCTAGCCACCAAAATACCCCTGGCCCTTGCCACCACGTTATCCAAGTGCCTCATTCATTATTAAATATATTCCCCATGGGACAGAAAATACCACATCTCCATTTTATAGATGGGAAACTAAGGCATGAAGACTAAAGATGGAGCAGGAAATTGAATCCAGATGCACTGGCTTAAACGCAAGGCTATTTTTCCTTTTTGTTCTTTCCATCTGTATAAAAACTCTTACATTACTGTAACTTCTGGCCTTTCTTCCTTGCTCTGTCGCAGACACACAGCCTAACCTTGGGCAAGTTGCTGCACATCTCTGCCATGTGTGGATAGGATTCATCTTTCATAAACTCTAGAACTGCACTCGCTGCCTTGCCCAACTAGTCTTCACCGAATTTAAGCGCTAAATAATTGCAACCTACTCTTGTGACTCTGAAGATGAATCTGTTAATATTTTTACACACACTTCCTCATCCTCCTATTTTAAATTGTTATATGAGTGCTTTTTTCCACTCCTGTTCTGTTACTAATTTGGGCACCACTAAAAAACTTTGGCTAGTACCATATGGAGTAAGGACCCAGTCAGTATGAGTTTCCTGTATAGGAGCAAGTGTAAGATAAACAGAGTAGGAATAGATGTCAAATGATTGTAGTGATGTAAGGAATTTAAAGGAAGGTTGTGGAACTGGCCGACTGGGACATACTGGGGAGCTGAGTGCAGACCTTTCACCTCTAGGCCCTAAGCACAGATAAGAAGGTCATTGCCATTTGAGGACAAATTGGAGGCCTGAGGTAAGTTAGTTGGTCTCAGGTATTCACTTAAGAATCTCTACAGAGGCAGGCCAAGTGTTGTGCGAGACTTCTTCTATCCCTGGTGGTTGAGATGATGGAGCAGACCTATCTGGCTCAGAAAGATGTTTAGCCTTTTTTGACGTTTGAATAATGGGAACAGCCAGCTCCAGCTGATTCCATGTTTTGGGTGGCAGACAGTGCTATAGGATGTACCTTTTGCCAGTTGTAGGTTACTTGATGGATTACTCTGAGCCTTTTCCCTTGGGTTTTACTCTTGCCACATGGATCCTGCCTTAGCACATAGCAAGACGGGTTGCTGCCCGGTCCTTCTGCCATCCATATGCAAAATGTTTACCTACATTGAACCAAACTTGTATGGTTAGTTGGGGGTGTGAGATAAAGTACATGTGCTTTGAACTATTTTCTTACGCCACCATTCTGCAGTAGGGAAAAGGTGCAGGTATGTGTGCTCACACAGGTAGTCATCCAAAGCCATCGCACAATTCTTTGCCCGCCCTACGTAGCTATTTGCTTGCTTTCATACACATGCACGTGAGCCAAGACACAAGTGCATCTTGTAATGTAGACATGCCCTGGAATGCATATCAAAGCAAAAGGAGCCTCACCCTTCTGTTTCTGTTCAACCTCAAGCCCAGTCCAGTATGAAAGAACTAGACTCCCCCTCCTGTCTTCAGATACGGAGACTTTAAAAATGTAAATGTGCTACAAGCAAGTCTTTGCAGGTTCTTTCATCCTTTACTTCCTTATCAAAGCTGGAGTTCAAGCTTTCATTTTTTCCTCAGCAGCTGATGACCTCTTACACATTCCTTTCCTTCCTGCCTGTGTGGGGAATTGTCAGTCAGTGTTGCTAAGGTGAAATGAAGCCCATAGCTCAGGTCCCAAGAGAAACACAAAGGACATAGTTACTTTCCAGGTAACTGGATGCAAAGAAGGCTTCACACTCAGCTTCTGCTTTAGAATCTTTGGACTTTTGCTCAAAGGTCTTAGTTTTTGTGACATGCATATACTCTGCCCCGACCACTTTCTCCCTGTTAAAAAATGCAGCAGAGGCTGTATGGGTCATGGAGTCTGAATTTCTCTCCAGGGCAGGTACTAGTGAGGTTTACTGTACCACTGAATCTAATGTTATGTCTATATTAACTATATATTTCTTTTCAAAGATGCCTTGAAAGGACAAACTAGGGTACTTATCTCTTTTCCTCCTTGTATTTATGCTGGAGAAAGGAAGCCTAGCAAGCTCCTTGGACCGCATGTCGTCTTTAGTTTTGTGGGCTTTTTGGTTGGGGTTTTTTGTGTCACTTTTGGCAGCCTGAGAAACTTGGTCCCTTTCTAGCCTGAACCTGGAGAGTGGTGCGATATCAATATCCATAGAACAAAGATAGTGAAAGTTGAGCAACTGAACTAGTTTCTTTTCTGTTTCTTTTCAAGCCGAACTATAATTTTGGGTAATACCTCTCTTATTACAGTGATGGACTAAACACTTGGAAAGCTATACATCTCAAACAAAATCAGACAGAATGCTTCTGACTCCTCTTCTTAGGGTTCAAACATGATGAGGGTACCACTCTGACACTGCCTTTGTGCTCTGGGTTGCTTTTTGTCTTCATAAGATGGAAGGGCAATCCACAAACATTGTTTGTTTATTTTCATTTTTTATATAATCCTTTGCCAGTTGGTTTATAAATGCGATTTTTGTATGTAGCACCTTGGTTTTTTGTCACTTTCTGGTCCCCCTGTCAGTATGTCACCAATTTTGTCTGCTTTGCAGGTGGCTTCTGGCTGGGTATAGACCAGGAAGGAGCAGAAGGCACCTTGTCATGGACTGGCATAGCCTTTGGGATCCTGGCAAGTCTTTGCGTTTCCCTCAATGCCATCTATACCAAGAAAGTTCTGCCTGCTGTGGATAGCAGCATCTGGCGTCTGACCTTCTACAACAATGTGAATGCGTGTGTCCTATTCTTGCCCCTTATGTTGTTGTTTGGTGAGTTTCATACCCTCTACCGCTTCGATAAGCTGGGAGACCCCAGCTTCTGGGGTATGATGACCCTTGGTGGAGTGTTTGGTTTTGCCATCGGGTATGTGACGGGACTCCAGATAAAGTTCACCAGCCCACTCACCCATAATGTCTCTGGAACAGCTAAAGCCTGTGCCCAGACAGTTTTGGCTGTTGCCTACTATGAGGAGACCAAAAGCTTCCTGTGGTGGACAAGCAACATGATGGTTCTAGGGGGATCCTTTGCATATACATGGGTAAAAGGGCTGGAGATGAGGAAGGTACAGGAAGAATCGTCTCCAAAACCAGGTGAGAAAAGTGAGACCGGTGTCTAGCACCTCTGCTGCTGTGTCTGTGGAATGGAGCTTTGCTGGAAAAGGAGCCAAGAGCAGAAACTTCCAGGGCAGAAAATCACGAACTTATAAAATGCATGAGGCGTTTGTCTCAGGAGTTAAAGCCAAAGGCCTACCATATATAATGGTTTCTGCAACGAGGGATGGAAGGATGCTATTTCCAGAGGAGTTCATCCTGTTTCTTGAACTGGAAAGGGGGTGTAGGAAACAAAGGGCTTCTCTGTGTTGGTGCCTTTTTTAAACAGCTGTTACCATTGGTAACTTACCAATTGTGCACCATATGGAAACCCTTGCTGTGAGGGAGGGGGAAACAGCATTTTTGCTGTGTAGCTGGGAATAGATATTGGCAGCCAACTACATGGTCTTGAATACAATGATATCCTGCACCTAAATATAAGGGAGGGGAAGATAGCAGTCTGGACAGCCTGGCTTCTACACAAATGTTCCCCCTATTATAAATGGAAATAGTTGTTCTTCCCATTCCCGTCCTTTTACAAGTCACAGGTGGAAAATCCCTTCACTACAAGTTCTGAGTGAATCTAGCAGAAGGACACACCTCTGAATTTCTTGTCTAAACAGCCAGTAACTCCTCTGGTTGAGATTTCTCAATATAGTTTGCTACCTCTTTTCTGCATCCACAGGATATGTGTGTCCCAAGAAATCATTACAAAGGAGGGACCAAATCTTAGTCTCCTTTCTTGAGACTGGCAGCTTTCCTTGTGTAGGTGGGAAGGATGCTGGCTTTTTTCACATGAGGTTACTGGATACTTGCGACTCTGTCTTTTGGAGTAACTAGGTCTCTGTCCTTGTGGGTTTCTGAAGTATTTTCCTTTCCGTGGTGAGGATCCAAAAATAGCCAGTTGGGGAAAATCAGACTTTTATCATTTTCTCTTCCAATACAGGAAACAAATAATGCTCTCATTAATTAGGCCAGTTTCAGGCTGGATTATTGCTTGCCTGCTATGGCTGCCTTCCTGGGGACCTTTCCTAGAAGATTCACTAAAGAACTGATGCTTAGGCATGGAAAATGCCATAATTCCACTTCAGTGACAGTACGTGGGGATAAAAGGTAAATCTTTTACCAAGAAATCCCAGGCCCTATCAGAAGGGTGAACAGAGCTGGTGCAGAACTTTATACTCTGGCGGTCTCTGCAGTGTCAGACTTGTGCAGGAACCTTTCCCTCTCCTGTCCCATCAAGTGCCATCTGAGGCTGTATTATACAGTCACTTTTCTCTCCTCATTCCTGCAGGTGTTGACCTTCATTCCCTACTGTTCTAGCTTTATCTAAACCCTGAGTCCTCTCACATCCAAAGATTATTTTAAGTGGGGTGTGCTGGGAGCTGGTATAACCTATTCTCAGTATCCTCTGAGTGATCTTAAATAGCACCAGATTGCTGCTATGAAAGCAATCTGACTTTTTTTTACCTTTGTCCTTGCTAGCTAGGTTTTTCCTAAATTTCAGGAAACCAAGGTCACTGGAATTCTAAATTCAATTTGCCTTGTTAATGATGGTCTCCCTCCCCGTTTTTATTTCCTTTGGTAAAGGGTGGAATTTTTCCCATGGTTTGAGTTTTCTACTGGGATAGATTTTAGAGTTGCAAACATTGACCTGTGATTGTAAAACATATTAAATAAAATTATGGATTGGTATCTTGGGGGTGGTTTCTTCTACAGTGTTGTCAAAGGTTCAAGGGAACAGTGGGCACAGCAGTGCTCCTAGTGCAAAGGAGATTGCAAATTCCTTCTACTTCAGTTCAACAACAAATCAGCCCAGATGATGGTGATATAAAACATTTTTAAAATGGTGCCCACGTGAGGAAAGAACATTGACTTTCCAAGCCCATTTCTAAAATGATTCAGTTAATGGTACCGTTTGTGGGTTTTCACAGGGTCTGGCTGAGAAGTGAAGGAGGCATTAGTCCTGTATTGCATAATGGATAAATACTGATTCTGCCTGGATTTCAGTCAACATATTCTCCAGTAGGATGCCGCCAATGGGGGAGGGATATGAAGAACAGGTTCTAGTGAGTTTAATTTTCCAAGGAAAGTGTGATTGTAGTCTGTGTCCTGTAAAACAAGACCTGCTCTTGTTCACCCCTTGTGGTGCTGCTTCAGGGTATGGCTGTGGGTGCCCCCTTTCCCACTTTGTTGACAGGCAGTCACTTTGCTGAGGACTTCATCTGTTGGTAGGTGATATAGTTCTACATCAGTGGTGCACAAACTTTTGGCCAGCAGGCCAGATGAGCAGTGTGGAACTGGTCCATAACCAGATCAGCTCCCATGCAGCCTGAGCCAGCCTCTGTATGCCAGGATTGAGCCCTGGGGCACCATACTGCCCCTGCAACTAGGACAAGGCTCTGGGGCCCTGCATCACCCCCACCTGCCAGAATCAGGCCCAGTGCCACGCCTGCTTGGCCCCATGTGCCAGGATTGGGCCCTATATTACCCCTAACTAGCTGGGATTGGGCCCTGGAGTCCCCACCCCACACAGTGGAATCAGGCCCCATGCTGCCCTGCTCCCCTGATACAGCATGCAGGGCTATGCTATCTAGCCCACAGGGCTCCTAATGGATCCAGAAATTGACAGCAAGGAGCAGTGTCACCATTCTCCTGCTGCCAAATTTTCAGAACTGGAGAGCCCTGCAGGACAGATGACATGACCTGCGGGGGCTGGATCTGGCCTGCGGGCCTGGGGTTGAGCACCACTGTCCTACACCAATAGAATCTGGAAGCCCAGGTGTGGCCCATGTGGGACATCACCCCTCCCCATCACTCCCATGTGCATGCACGGTAAGGCTGCTGCAGTGTCCTGTGGAGCCAACTGGATGGAGAGAAACATGCTAGTGGCTTACAATCTCAGGCTGCCCCAGCAGAGGGGCTGTTGTGGAGAAATACCCTGTCCCCTTCAGGGCTGAGAATCTC